ATACTTAAGGAGGGAAGGAAAATAGAATAGCTAAGGATATTGGGTTAGTAATCCAGTCTATTTCCCCTTCAGTAAAACAAGCCTAAACCCTAGTAAGAGGGTGGAAAAGAGTTGTGCATTCAAATAGTTGGTAAGAGGGAGTTAAGGAAAATCTCTGTGTTATTAAGGTTGGTTTTTAAGGCAGTCCTGTTAAGTGTCTGTATCATTTTCTTCAAAGTAAGCAGTCTGTTCAAATTTTACCACACATTGTAGCATTACAGTAAATACTAGTGTATCCATTGCTATAGTGTGAAGCCAGAACAAAAGAATAATTTTCACCAGTGACCCAGAACAGAGGTCTCTGGGGTAATTCCACATGATACGAAGTAGTGGCATATACAAGCACTTTGTTTGCAAAATAACCAGTCTTACACAGGCCACAAACAAATTGCAGGTGGGGTGGTATGAGAGAGAGTTTGAGCCCCTCAGGGCTGGTATTTCCATCACTGACTACTATAGGGACATGCTTGGTACAGGCATATCTCCCCAGAGCTGTCTGTGCAGTCCCCTACCTGCGCTACCACGGCAGGGCTTTGCACTGGGCTGTGTGCTGTCCTGACCTTCAGGAGACGTTTATCCAGATTGTAAACTAAATTCTTGCTGACTGCAACACCTTGTCTACACTGCTGGTAAAAGGTAACTTCAAAGCTACCTAAGGCTTATTCATGCAAATTGTATTAAAAGAAACCATTGTGGGCCAGATATAATTATCTGTTTAAGAGAAAAATCAGGTTTGTTTTTCACTTTATGTGCACTCAAGAGGGTTTTCCAAAAGTGAGCAGGCTAGATTTGTGGGTCATCTTCCACAGCTGTTAGAGATTGCTTGAGGATGCAGCTGGTTGATAGCTTCTAACAAAACCAGGTGAGTTAAGATCCTAGACAAGGGTGGTATTTTATTCCAAGTATATTTACTGGCTATCACCAAAATAGACCCAAGCTTAGCTACACTAATGGCCTCAGCCACTTCAGAAGCATTTTTCTTTGCAGTAGTAAGGTTGTTTCAACTTTCTTATGTAATATTTTGAACAAAAGGTTAGATACTTTCCTATAGTCATACTCACTTGTCTGAAAGTTTCTTCTGTTATGGATCCTTGCTATTTAGTAATTCCAAACCAGTCTAGACTTGCTTTTTCTGGAATAATAAAAAAACTTGTGAATCTTCCAGGCTTTTCATCCACCCCAGAGAAAGTTAGCAAGGCACTTCAGGTCTTAATGTATTGTTATTGTTAAAAAACAAGAAGAAAATCCCACCCTGCCAACAGAAATAACTGCATGGAATAGAATGTTTGTCTTCTAGAGTTACATATGCTCCATAGCATCAACAGTGGAAAAAGATTAGTAACAGCCCTGGAGAGACTTAGCTGTATCAGTTGAAACAAAGATACAGCTAGGGCTATTGGTGAGTGTAAAACCAAAACAAAGCCCCACCCACAAAACACCACGAAAGAATATAGCTGAAAAGTGGCATGTTCTAGCGTGCCTGGTATATTAAGGTAGCATTTTTAGCATTTCATGCTAAATTAAAGGCCTTGCCTCCAAAGTGGGGATTTTGGAAACTGCTCTGACTTTGTATGCTGTGCATGGGTAGTCCTCATGCATTTCAGTGTTCTGTTCAAGAGCCTAAGGAGGCATGAAGCAGTTGCCTAAGTTTTTTTGTACAAGATTGGCCACCATCCGTCAGTTGAGAGCTGGTATTTCATAGTTGGAGGAACTTGCAGTGAAATTTGTTACATAAAACAGTATTGTAAACATGTTTTGCAGAGCAGATGAAGTGCTTTAATATTAAAACTTTCTTAACTCTTTTATGAGAGCATACACCTAGTAGACTTGACCAAAAGGGCTAGGTTAAAAACAAAAACAAAACCCCAAACAAAAAGTACCACTGGCACTTTTTTGGAAGCAAGTCTAGAGCAAGCCTAAGGTGTAAAGTTCTTTACGTGCATTGGTAATCGACTTAGAGGTTTTTTTTTCCCTTGGCACATATCTTAGCAGTTCTTTCCTCATTCTAAGTGCAAGAATTTCTTGACAAAGTGTGCTAGAATGTGGAGTTATCTTGAATCTGTTTCACTCCATGCACTCAAGGCTTGCAGTCCTAGATCCTATCTCTGTCTAAAAGCTAGAGAAACAGAAGGACAAAGCACAGATCAAGAGTCAGATAAAACAAAGAATACTTAAGTGCTTTAATAACTTTTAGATAAGCAGAAAATACAGCTTCTAGAATTAGATCCTTTGGTTGTTTTCCATTCGGGATAATTTGTTTATCTTGGTTTTGGTGCCATGTATCCAGATGTGACTAAACTGTCTCCAGGCAGAGTTCACCACAACATTCCTCTATTGCTCTAGCTCCAAAGATATTACTGTCATCTTGGAAATATTAAGTTCTGTATTAGCTACAATTTACCATGACATAGCAGAGAAGTTACTGATGTCAGAATTGGCAGAAGTTAGTTTAATCCTCTTGGAGAAAGTAAGTTACTGCTTCCATGGAGTAAAATAACATGGAGATGGCTGCTAATTCACTGTTTAGCTAGCATTTGTCTGAAAGATTTCAGTGTCATATCATATGCATATGAAAGTACCATGGTCTCTGCTACTGCTAACTCTGTCTCTTGGAAAAACAGGTAGTTCTTAATGCCCTAGACTTCTTGAAAGAGTTCTGGCCTCCAAACAAGGTTATCTGTCATGTGACACAGGTGCTCACACATACAGGAGCGCTCAAAACCAGTTTGTTATCTCTTAAAGAGAAGCAGATGGTCATGCCTCTTCCCTCTTTGTTAGCATCCTTGAAATGCAGAAGACTTGGGCTTGTTTTCAAAGGCATTGTCTTTCAGTTCACTATTATGTAAACTCTCAGCTTTTTCCCAATAAGTCAGTCAGGAGATTCAGGTTTGATTTGGTCTTGTGAAATGCTTTCAAAAGTATCTTCAGCAGGTCTTACAGCAGTGTTCTGAATTTCACTATTTAAAGGGTAGGTTAAGGAATTCTTCCATTAGTGTCAAACTATATGGATGTGAAGACTACTCTAGTGTGTGAATTGGAGCAAAATGGGTTCCAGAACTTGTTTGGTTTGCTGTGTGGGGTTTTGGTGTGTTTTGGTGTGCTTTTTCTTGTGTGTGTTTGGTTTTGTGGTTTTGGTTTTTTGGGTTTATTTTTTTTTTTGGTGTGCTTTTTAATTTTGGAATTAAACATATGAAGCACACATTTATCATAAAAAAAAAATAACAAGCATCAATTGCTACATTCTAAACCTATTTGTAAGCCTTGATTTGGCATATTCTGACAATGGAGGATTATATTAGGTGTCCAGGCCTAAGTAACTGTTTGTTGTGCTAAAATTTATATTTAAAAACATAAATTTCTACATCTAACTTCCTAGCTGCTCCAATCGTTTCTCCAATATTAAGTTACTGCTAATGAGAAGGGACTTGACTAAAGTTAAAAATAGAGCACATTGAACTTAACATGAACCTTAATATCTTTTCCAGCTTTTACAAAGATTGTATTGTGAATTGTGTATTGTTCACTTAGTTTCTCACTGATTAAAAGTATTGAAATAAACTGTGTATTGTGAAATCAGGTTGCTGTCCTTGCTTTGTTTACATTGTGCATATCTTATCTAAATGTCTTTTTACAAATTTGATGCAAAGTTCAAGATTGGAAATGGGATTTGTAAGTCTTAATAGGACTGTTTTTCTAAAGGCAAAATATATTGCTGAAGACATAAGACGACTGAAATGTGTTTATTGTCAGAGCATAAAACTCATTTCGTTTACTTGGGATTTGGATGCAGCCAATGTGGCAGATCAGATATTTTTCTATATGCAGTTTGTTACTAGAGCCTCACAGAAGTTTCCAGTGCTCTTTGAGCCTGGTTTTACATAGGTCTTTGTTTTTTTTCTGCTTACTGTAAATTAATTTTTTTACTTAACTGATAAGTTTGTTACTTAATTTGTAGACATAAAACTGATCTTGACTAAAATAATTCTGTAAAGCTTCTTGCCTGAAGATTTGGTAAACTCTAAAAGAAAACCTCTCTGATTTTTCCTGTTCTGGGAGGAGGTCCTAATAGTGGCTAGCTTACCTCTGCTCTTTTATTCTTGTCCTCTTAGAATGCAGATTTGGTAAGTACAGGTAATAATTACAGTCACTGAGTGGTCACTGAAGAAGAAACAATGGTGATTTAAGGGAGCTTTCTCTTCTGGGTGAGTGACTGTGTATCCCATCACTTGGTTCAGGAGACTTCTTATTAGAGAGATGCTTGTGTCTTTATGCCTGCTGATGTAATGAATGAAAAATCAGGCTTGCTACAACATATAGTTTTGGGGTTTTTTTCCTAATTTTCTTCCACTCAAAAAAAAAGAAAGTAAGCAATAAACCCTTCTGAACTAATTGTTCTGTCAAAATGACAAACCAGTGCAAGGTAGTATTGAAGAAGTGTGGTATGAGTTATCAGTAAAGAATAGAGAATTCTGTAGCATTACACAGTTATGCCTTCCTCTTGAATGTAAGTACTTGTGGTTTATGCAGTATCAAAAAAGTACAGTGGACTTTATCTTTCTCTGTATTGTTTTTTAAGATCAAAGCCAGCGCTTATCTGCCTTTTTTTTTTTTTTAATTTGGCTTGAGAGAGCAAGGCGGATCTATACAAAATAACCACAAGTGTCATGGAAAATCAACAGGAAGAAAGTGTTTTCCTCTTCAGTTATTTCATTTATTCTCTTCTTCCTCCTTATTATCAGATGGCAGTTAAAAATAAAAACCTGATACTTTTGCATAGTGTAGAGCTGAACCACAGAACTGACTGGCACAGAATATTTTAGCGCTATGAATTTTCAGGGGTTCAAAAAGAAATGTATATTGCAGAGAAATCTAGCTGCTTGGAAACTCAGTCCTTTTGAACCAGGAATGTGAAGTTTGAGACTATGCTGAAACACACTCATCCTTACTTTTTTTTTTTCTAGGGATTCCTACTGGCTTCTGTTGGTGAGAACACTGTACTAGGTAAGTCTGCTGTTAGACTTAAATGTCCAGGACTGCTTTGATTTATAAGAATTGATCCAGAGAAAAAATTGATATTTAAAGGGTTAGGAAAAGGGAGAAAATTTCAGTTTCCTTAGAAATATAGAGGTATTTTATGTTCTGTATTAATATTGTATATAGTCTGCTCTCCTCCACCTCCCTTAAACTTGAGGAAATGCATGGTATGACCTGGCCCTCAGTACATATGACTGGATATAGTGCAAATAGGCTTTTGGGGGATTCTTGTGCCAGTGAAGGATGTTGCTCTTAAAAGTTGTGGGATGCAGTGGTAGCATCCTTCTGTGTGTACATCTGCCTTTAGTTTTTAATTCTCTGTATCACTGATACTATGGATTTCTTCTTTCTGAGGTAACCGGTGATATGGATCCTTTGCTCAGAACAGTTCTTTTGAAACAATGGTGATGAAATGGGATTTCTTAACAAAAACTGATTTGGGCCCAGAGTGGATATGATGCTATTCACTGGTGTTTGTTAGGTTGTTTTTTTGTTTCTTTTTTTTTGTCATACCTTCTGGGGTGACTATTTAGCCTTCAATACCCAAACAAATTAGTGTATCAATCTCCATACTTCTTGCTGGAGAGTAGTGAAACTGGTGACTTGTCTGGATGTTCTATTCAGTGGAATTTTGATCTTAAAAAAGGAAGCACCTCTTTCAGAATAATCTCTTGTGACAAGATCAACCTCTTTTATTATAAGGTCAGGCTAAAGCAAAATGAAGAAAATGAGACAGTGGAAGAAAAACCTTTGGAGAATGATCTCTTCAAAGCCCAGAAAAGAATCTGTTTGTCTCAGATAGCTGTGCTCATTAAAATGTTAAGAGTTTCTAAGCAATGGTCTGCAGATGAGACACAGAAGTAAATAATAGGTGGTGGAAAGAAGGGATAAATGACTTTTGCTTATGACTGGATGGAGACACTAAGTATATTGTCTGTCATAAATCTACTTGCAATGGAAGAAACCTAGATGACAGTATTTTTATTCTATAAGAGAGAATTAATGACATCAGACTTAAGTGTTGTATGCTCTTGTGTTCCCTCCATGGTATGTTGTGTTTATCCTGTTATTGTATGTACACTGTTATTTATAGGCTTCATCTATATGGGAATATAACCAAGTAAGCTTCCTACTGCTGAAAGCTCAAGTGTATGTAAGGTTTTGTAGCTTTCTGAACTTTTATTGAACTGCTAGATACGCTAACAATGCTTATTGGACTTTGAAAACAAAACATAAAAGCTATGCCATGCCTGGAGACAATATTTATAACTTTTCTAGTAATTTTATCATGGCCCAAGAATATAAGATTCTGACTGTGGTGTACCTGAACATGACTTTCCTTCCTTTTAAGTGTTCTCTGTAAGTGTGAAGTACTGTAATAAAAGGTCACTTAACTGGACAAATACATTGTGGCATTTACTGACAAGAAAACACATTGAATTGACCATGCTGTATAGCTGATATATTCCAGTTGTATGACATAAGTGCATGACTGGTGCTAATCAGTTGCCATATTTGATATGCTTATGAGATGCTAACATAAAAACCTCCCAGTGCAGTGGTGTGGCTGATGACTAACTTTAAAGTATAGCATCAAGTTGAACCTTGAATTAAACTGCTGGATGACATGGAAGTGTGGTAGGAGAGAAGACGAGTATTTTTAAATTGTGGGGGATGCATCCTTAATGTCTCATTGGCAAACAAATGCTCAAACAGTAGTTCCCCAGCTTAGGGTTTTATTGAATGTAGAATAGAATTCAGACTGTCTGCTTGTATAGGAACTGAAGATCCAGTGCATGTAAGAAAAAATAATAATAATAAAAATGAACAGCTCTATCCTGGTGTTTCCTCCAGTGCACTATATAAAAATACATGAAACTGCTTCCTAATGTTGTGAAACCACACAACTACTTAGCCATTTATCTACAAACAAGGAAGCAACTGGATCTGAAACAAACAATCACAAATGTTTTTTTGGCACTTGAAGGAGAAGGATGTGATCCCTTCTTCTGGTTTTGGCAGTCACTGACCTCTTGTACTAACTTCCAGAATGGCTGCAAATCTGCCTAAAATTACTTGGCTTTTCTGTGTTAATGATGGTGGTGTCATTTTGGAGAGTTCTGCAGATAAACATTAGTGTTTGAGAAGTGCCAGTTGTATTTGTTTTCATGAGCAAAACTGATTTTTTGCCTGATGCAGGAACATTGGGGAGCTTGGTGTGAGATCAGTTGCAAAATGTCTTTTTAATAAAAGTGAAGGTATTGCTGCTTTAACAGAACATTAGAAAAATGAGAAGCTTAAGATTTTTATGCAATCAAAATTCTTTGTAAAGAAAAGTTTGGACAAAAAAAAACCCTCCAAACAACAAGAGGGCATTGAGAGTCTTATTCAAAAGCATGCTGCTTTTTCTCATAAATGGAGAAAAAAACCCCTTGATAATAGGAATTAATGTTGTGGTCAGAGAAGATGGGAGTTTTAATGGATATATGCAAAATGTAAAGAGTACCTGAGATTAATAAGACATACCTGCTTAGATCAGTACTAAAGAGAATGTGGTAATACACCTTAAATTAAGACAAAGTAGGATCAGTTGTAAAGTACTCTCTTGCCTTACTAGCCCTTTGTTACAGTGGTACCAGGTTATCACTGGGCTGCAGTACGTAATTCTCTGACTGGGTTTTAGTGACAATTGTACAACAGTGGTGCTAGCATCAATCTTAACACTGCAAACAGAGTTGGAGCTGGTTGGTCTGGGGTTTGTTTGGTCAAATTTTGAAGGTCTCTTAGGGTAGAGGTTCCACTGGCTGGCTGGAACTGGTTCCTGTGTTCAACCAATATATGAAAACTAGAATTTCACTTGTTGCAGGCAGTAAAGCTTGCCTCTTGCCCTTTTGTTTTAGGCCTTGGAGGAGGCTCTGTGACTTTCCAGTCTATAGTATTTCTCCAAGAGCTGTTTTTCTCTTTTGCATAGCATTGAATAAAGACACCAACCTTCAGGGTTTTCCCTCATCTGTTTTAGCTTAATTTTACAATAAGTGATCCCTGAAATCTAAGATATGAATCTGCCAGTGATGTGCAAAGTAACATTGCAGCTTTGTTTTCTGCAGTAAATTTTAGCAGATGCTCCATGTTGTAACCATTGGTACACCATGAATGGCAGCATCTGAAATATCATGAGGTAACTGTACTGTGGAGAGACAAATGAACCTGATCATTTTGTGATGAAGGTACTCTACTAAGCTCTGGTCATTATGAATATGAAATATAGTCATGTATATGAGGGGAAAAAAAGAGAAAAGGATATTTTTAACTAATGAAATGCTTACCTTTATTGGTATGCTATAGATAGACAACTGTCACTTTGAATTTGGAATGGTGGCATTTGTGTTGAACTAAATCAACACCACTTGCAGCCATCCGAAAGTGTACCTGCATACACTTAAACTTAATCAGATTTTAATTACAGCACTGAGCTAGGAACATTTCCATATTTCAAGGTCAAACTGTGTTTTAGAAGTGTCTTTGTATTAAGTAGCTGTACTTGCTCCTTACAATGCAGTAAATTATGTATAAGTACCGATACTATGCATGGAAAACTTTAAAATATTTTGATTTCCCTTCTTCAGTAACTTTCTTTGTTTTCCATCTATGATCTTGTAGTCTCAAATTTGAGAATCTAGTTTTGCCAAAACCTCAGGAAAGTTCATTAACAGGCCTTTTATAATTAGATCAGTGAATAACAAGGTCTAGTTTTAAAAGCAATGGGGATGTGTAGCTTTCAATAAATTTTTTTTTTAAAAAAGCTATTTTAGTAGCTGAAGCAAAGAGACACCAAGTAGAAATCTCAAAGATGCTTTTAACACACCAGGCGTTTGAGTCCCATTGAAGCTGGTTGTTGTGAGTCTCTATGTGTGTAATATGGAAACTGCTGGCAGATAGTTGCCTTCCACAGCACTTGGGCACTTTTTCAGAGTATTTACATTTAAAAATGGTAATGTATCCATAGCTTTGATTAAAATTAGTTGGTTTACAGTGTAAAATAATATATTTATTGGCATTAATTCTGTAGCTTAGGTCTTGTGCAAACACATGACTAGATGTCTTCAAGTACTGCCTCTGCTGACTAGCAAACTGTGTGAGACAAGTGAGCAGCGTGATTTACAGACTTTCCCTCTCCTGTGATCCTGCTTGTGATGGGTGTATTTCCAACAGTTAGGTCAGTGATTGAAATGTCAGTTTAGAGTCTGCTCTAAGTGAATGTTCTTAATCGGACAGATTACGATCTGTTGTAATCAAGACAAGCCTGTATCAGTGTTTACTTGTCACGGGAGAAACCCCCTGTGTTCTAATGTGAATGTCACTGAAACTCCCTAAGTACCCACACTGGGCAAAGGCCATGTTAGTATACAGATCCTTGACAGGCTTCAGTTCTCTGAGACCATTACCTATCACTATAGTAAAATGAGCAGGGTTGTTGAAATAGTAATGTATTTTGGAGATGATACAGTAGACACAAGTCTGGAATAGTCTTCCCTGTGAGCTTATGGTGCCTGTCCCACACGGCAGAGTGCTTAATTTCATATCTGCGGTGAGGGTTAAAGGGAGAAGGTGTTGAGAGTTGAAGTTGACGATACTATTTTACATTTTTTGAATGATCTCACAACCTTAGTATTTTCAGCATAACTTTTTTTATGCCTTTAAAGCATATGGAAAAAGTAGTATAATTTGCAATGAGGAAATTTCTGACCTTTGCCAGCAAGGTTGTCATCTGGAATCCCACCAAGCTGGTTGACACTGCTTTGGTTGCCAGAGTGAGCGTGCGTGCTGCAGGGGCTGGCTACTAGAGGGGCAGGAGTCTTTCAGCACTACCGGCTGGGACCTCCAGTTGCAGTTTCAACTGGGTTCTTGAACTGGAAGGGAGGGGTGGCCTTTCCCTTGATCTCGCTGCTGCCTCCTGTTTTGTGAAT